CAAGCCACCACAGTACCGCACCCTGACAAACTAGTGGTAGTTGGTTTTAGCAGATACGGCCAAACAGCTTTCCAAAGTGGTGTACCACTGTGCTTCCTCCAGAAATACATGCATTCCAGTTGCTCCACATGCTTGCTTATCCTTGGCATTCTCAGTCTTTTTTTTTTTTTTTTTTAAGTCATTCTAGTGGGTGAGTATCTCAGAATTTTGATTGGCATTTTCCTCTTGGCTAATGATTTTGAGCATCCTTTCAGGTGTTTATTGTTGTTGTTGTTATGTGCTGTCAAGTTGGACCCGACTCAGTGACCCCTCCTTGGGTTTCCGAGGCAGTATCACTACGGAAGTAGATTGCCCAACCTTCCTTCATGTGTTTAGTGGTATTTAAAATATCCTGTTTTGTCTTTTGCCCATTGTTAGGGATTGTTTGTGTTTTTCTTTGACATGTAGGAGCTTTTTATATATTCTAGATACAGGTCTGTGATGCAATGAATTACTTAATATGGGTCTTCTAGCCATGGTCTTTGTCACTCTCACCAGATGACTGGGTGGGACTATGCAAATGTGAGGTGCTTGTGGCCCACCAAGGGGATTGGATAGCTTTTTAATAATGTAAATAAGGTACCTAGCCCCCTTGCATATGGAAATAAGGTGTATGGAACCTAACATGAGGATTGGGCAGCTTTACCATCTGCCAGACTTACAATGAGCTCTCCCAGAGATGGAAAGAGGAATCTCACTACCATCAAGAAAGAAGTACCAGGAGTGGAGCACGTCTTTTGGACCAAGATCCCTGCACAGAACCTGCTCAACCCAGGAGACAGAGACAGAGTTGTGGCACTTTGCTGAGGCAGTGAGAGATGTTGAGAACCAGTGGCAGAGAAACACTGGCAGCAGAGGCAGCAGAACCAAGAGACCGCATGAGACAAGGTGGCAGGCCTCCCAGCCCAGGGAGCAGGAATGCTGAGAACCTTCAGGCAGGAGGCTTGCTGCAGGAGTGGGGAGCCTCTCTGGACACCCATCAGTAGAGCTAAAATTGCTTTGTAACACTTGCACAAGCAGGGCAGAGGCCAAGGGGCCCCAAGGCTGAGACTGAGGCCAGAAAGAAGCGTGCGTGTGGGCATAGCTGAGAAGAGGCTGTACTGATCGATGAATTGTATCCTGAGTCATTTCTGATCCTGCGTTGTAACCCATTTCTTCCCTAATAAACTCTGTAATGATGACTATTGTCTGTGAGTTCTGTAGGGCCATTGCAATGATTTATCAAACCCAGAAGAGAAGTAGAGAGTACCATGAGAGGGATGGTTGGTGTCAGAACTGGTCAAAGGTTGGAGGGTGGAGGCGTGTCTGACCTCCGCCTCATAGGAATCGGCCTTGGGCTGTTGATAGTGATCCTCTTCCCCCCTTGTGAAGTTAGAGGTGCTCAGAAGATGCTGCCCTCACACCAGTTTTGCAGTGTCTTTTGTCAATTTTATGTATTATGAATATCTTCTCCCTATGTGTGGCTTTTCTTTTCACTCTCTTAACAGTGGTTCTTGCTTAACAGATCATTTCATCTTTAACCAAGTGAGCTATTAGTGGTTGTTATTTTCTTCTATTCAAATCGAGAGCCTCTGGTATTTGCACACAGTTCAAGCTAGAGGGAACGTTAGAGACCATCTCTGTTGGTGGCTCTTGATCCTCACATTCATTAGAATAACTCGAGGAGCTTTTGGAAGAAGAATGCCCATACCTGGCACCACCACCAGAGATTCTGATTCAGTCTGTCTGGGGTGGAGCTCAGGGGTCAGCATCATTTAAAAGCTCCTCAGAGAAGTCTAACAAGCAGACAAAGCTGAGAAGCACCCATTTTTTGTGAATGGATTGATTCTAAGAGAGTGACATTTTGCTTGGCAGTGACCAGGTGTCCTATCCTAGTGTAATTATTAATAGCGTCTCCTTTCGGTGTCAAAAAGTGTCCTGCTTAGAGAATGCACTAAAAAGTCACCCTGCCCTCAAAGGCCTTGGCGCAATGTTGTCACTGGGGGCCAGAGGTGGGACTGCACCAGTGACACCGTCAGAGGAGGTGACACCAAGATGACTGTCTGTAACATTTTTGTGCAGTGTTTCAGCAGGAATTTATCATTTTAAATAATTAAAAAAATAGGCCTGTAGCTAGTTAAAAAAGCAACAAAAAAATTTTATAACCCAGCTTCCATGTATCAATATACCTACAAGGCTAAAACTCTGTGCTAATTTACTTTTCGACCCTTTTAATGCATTCTGATGGTGTAGTGCCTAAGGCATTTGACTGCTAACCAGAGGCTAGTGGTTCAAACCCACTAGCCACTCCTCAGAAGGAAGATTGAGTGATCTACTTCTGTAGTGATACTGCCTCAGAAACCCAAGGAGGGGTCGCTGTAAGTCGGATCCGACTCCACAGCATTGAGTTTCTAATGAGTTCTGGGGAGCTCTGGAGGTGTAGTGCCTAAGGCATTTGAATGTTAGCCAGAAGGCTGGTGGTTCAAACCCACCAGACACTCCTTGGAAGGAAGACTGGGCAATCTACTTCCGTAGAGCTACCACCTGAGAAACCCAAGGAGGGGTTGCTATGAGTCGGAATCGACTTGATGGCAGTGAGTTTGGTTTTTTGGTTTAATAAGTTCTGGTGGTGTAGTGGATAAGGCATTTGACTGCTAACTGGAAGGTCAGCAGTTCAAACCCACCAGCCACTCCATGAAAGGAAGACAGGGTGATCTACTTCCATGAAGATTTACAGCCTCGGAAACACAATAGGGGTTGCTATAAGTCTGAAGCAACTTGATGGCAGTGAGTTTAGTTTGGTTTGGTTTGGTTAATGAGCTCCAGTCAGAGCTGTCATTATTACCCAATTACAACAATGCTTCAAATCACATGATTTTTGTCTACATGTGCTATAAGCATGCATTGTTGTTTTCATTGCTGCCAATGTTTTTATTGTCACTAACTTTGTCAAACTTTTTGGTGTTTTAGCGTTCTTGAAAATGAAGTAATAATGAAAGGAAAAGAGAGAAAAATCCAAAAAGATTTCCATTCAATTACTAATAATATTATAACTAGTAATGTTGTAATTCAATGTAGAAAGATTTTACAAAATAATTTTGTTGTTAGTATTCATATAATTGAACAAAGAACACATTTAAGCAATTTACTACTATACTTATCCCTATGATTTAATTCTATGATTTAAATTCATAATAAGCGTTACTAAGGATTCAGTGTGGTTTGGAAGAGGGGGAGGTCCATGGGAGGGGATGATACCATGAGTTACCACACTAGGTGACACCAGCCCCAGTGATACCACTGGCTTGAAGATTCAGTATCCCTGGCCTGTCATGCCCTAGTGCACACCCTCCTGGGCTTAGCCTCAGGCTCCCTCATAGCTACCTTTGAGGCTTTTGGAAGAGACCAGATGGACAACCCAACAACCGAGGGGCCTAGCTTTTCATCCCAGCAATGGTGGGCCCTCATTCTTCATCCTTCCAACACCACCTGGAGAAACAGCCACCTCCCTTGAGGCCAGCCCTAGAACCATACCCAACAAGAGCTCTCAGGACAAAGATTTTGCTTTCAGTGACCCTAACTGTGAAAATTCTATCGAACCATTTATCCCTGAGATGGGAGAGCTGACTGGAGGGGATCTGAGGAGGGCAAGTGCCAAGTCCACCCTTCCACAGGATGTGTGGCAAAGACCCCTGGGAGACCCCTGTGGGTCAGAAGATTCCTCCAGCCAGCTGGTCTCCCTCTCAGGTTGTGACCCCTTTAGATAGCCAGGGAGTCACCTACTTCCAACTCTTTTCCAACACCAAGAACTACAGGAGCCTGGCATCTCCCCCCCGCCCTTAACTGCATGTAGCCCTAGCCATCACCACAAAGACCAGGTGCCCCAGAGCCCTCCGCACCACAGATACACACCCAGCAGCCTCAGGGCCCTCCCGCCCCCTCAGTTCCTCTGAGCCATCTGATTCGTTTGCATTAATAGCCACCTCACCTATACAGAAATAATTGATGATGACTGTCATGGGCTCAATAGTGGTCCCTCAAATATATGCCCTTGTCCTAACCCCAGAATCTCTGAATGTGACTTGATTTAGAAAAAGAGTCTTTGCAGATGTAATTAAGTGACAAAGAAATCACTCCAGATTATCCAAGTGGGTCCTAAGTCCAATGGCAAGTGTCTTTATAAGAGCAAAAGAGGAGGAGACAGAGAAGGAAAGACGGCCATGTGAAGACAGGGGCGGAGACTGGAGGGATGCGGCCACGAGCGAAGGAACACCTGGAGCCACCGAAGCTGGAATGGACATGGAACAGAGTCTCCCCAGGGCGACTGAAAGGAGCATGGCCCTGCCAACACCTGGGCTCCAGCCTCTTAGCCTCCTGAACTGAAGATTCTGTTGTACTAAACTACTAAGGTTGTAATCTGTTACAGCAATCCTAGAAAACTAATGCAATGACTTAAGCAAATCTAGTTTTCCTAGACCCTGCCTTGCAAAGCTATTTCTCATGCTGAGCCGTGTGGCAGCCTTGACAAGCCCCCCCCACACACACACACACATACACCCCACACCTCTGCTAATTTACGGCTCTTTGTCCCGGCCTTTCCCCAAGAACATGATGAGATAATGTATCAAGACTCACACAGAAGCTGGAGGGCAGGACCAGGCGGGCTGAGCTGCGCAGAACAGGCTCCGTGGAGCCCTCTCAGTCCCTTCCCCTTCAAGTGGCTGCAGAAAGCCAGGTTCCTTCATTTCTGGGCTGAAAACAGACTCTCCTGGGGAAACTGAAGCAATGAAGGAGGACAGCCGCCCAGAGGCAGATCTCTGCACATACTTTTAATAAGGAGAATCAAGAGAGCTGGCATCCAATGTCCAGAGGGCCCCCAAAGAGAAGAGATATCGTTAGCCTTTCAATTAGTGCATAAAGAAGACAGGGCCTCCGGGCCAGTGGGGAGACACCCTTGGCCAGTCTGCAGCTGTCTCACAGGGTTAAAACTCAGCCGGGAAAGCTTGTTTCAGGGTGAACAAGAGGAAGATGATCTCCCTGTAATTGTCGGATTCATACAGACACCCAAACTGAGGGGACCCATCGGGCCCAGACCCCATGCTCTGAAGGTCTGAATAGGCACAGCTGCCCGTGGCCAGCAGTGAAGGCTCCGACCAGGCCTCAGGGTCCAGGGGCTGTTTGTTGAGGTACACACCCAGGTTGGACCTCTGCTTTGGGTCAGTTGGGTGTGTGTAGAGCAGCCACTTGTCCGAGGAGGCTGACCCTGCGTGGGGGCTAGGGAAACTGATGACACTCCCGTGGCAGCCGTCTGGAGGTTCCACAAGCTTCTTTACTTGCTGGGGCTCCTTAAAGTCGAGCCCACTGTTGGTGCTCTCAGCCTGGACCCTTGCCCTGTGGACGCTTCTGGCATTGAGATGCACCACACTCTGCTTCCCAACGCCAACTTCAGCCACCTGACACTCCAGAGTGCCCTGGGCCACAAAGTGCCCGCGTTGCCAGGTGTGCCCATGGTCGTGACTGAGGAAGCAGAAGGCGGAGGGGGACGGCGCCCGCAGAGAGTGAAGGTTCCGGTAAGCGTAGGCAGGCAGCACCAGGCTCCAGGTCTCATTGTGCAACTGCAGACAGTGGCCCGGGCCCACCGCAAAGGTGGCCCATTCCCTGTGGGCCGAGCCAATGGCAGTGCTAGTGAGGTCTCTAGGGGGGCTCCAAGTCTTCCCGTAGTCGTCACTGGTGACTTGGCACAGCCGTGTCACGTTGACCCTCGTGCGGAGCTGGTGATGTTCAGAGACCTGCCCTGGGACAGCGATGAAGAAGAGGAAAAGGGTCCCAGTCTTCTCGTCATACAAGGGGCATGGGTTCATGGATCGGTGACCTGCCAGCTGGGCTTGGGCTACCACCTCCTGATTGTGCCACTGGTTGTGAGGACAGAGGAAGAAGGACACACTCAACCTCGACACAGCCACTGATAGTCAGGGGAGCTACCACCTTGGGATGGGTGTGCCTCACAGGGGCTTAGGACAAAAGGTCTAAGAGAACACATCACCCAACACTCACATCTTCCTATGACATCCCCCCAGAGCAGTGGACACCAGGGCTCCACTCCAACCCCCTCCATGGCAGCAGACTCTTCATTTGATCTGCTCCGGGTATGTGCTAGACCCCTGAGATGCAAACATGGACCAACCTGTCCAGTCATGCAATCAGCAAATGTATCCAGGCCAACTGGACTTGTTCAGAATGCACCCATGTGAGTGTGGGTGGTCATTGAATCTGCCCATCCTAGAATGGTTGGTTCCCTAGGACCTTCTTGGGCTCTCTCCTTTCCCTTCCTCAGACCCAGGCTACCTAATTGTCTTACATCCCATTGGACCCAGGCCTGGCTCCTGAACACACTCCAGCAAACAGGAGTGTACACAGAGCCCTGGCAGAGCGACTGTAGCCACAGGGCCTTACCTGGACCTGGAGAGTGGACGCGTCGTAGCCTCCTCTGCGCAGGACGATCAGTTCCGCGTGCTCGTCGGTCTTGCTCACGCGCCTCTCCGAAAAGGCCAGCAGGGTCTTGTTCTGCGGCAGGTAGAGCAGGGCCGGGATTCTGTAGGCGCAGTCACCTGACTGGAACACTCGCTCCCTATACAGCACGGGGCAGGAAGCCATGGGGCGGGAAGCCGTCGGGCTGGGAGCTGGAGGGGAGTAGAGCCACCTTTAGTCACGTCCCAAAGCCACCTTCAAGGGTGCCAAGTCTCCACAAAGGCAGGTGTGCTCACCCACTGGACATCCAGGGTGGCTTGCCGTCCTGCCTCTATGAGGTCCCCGTGCCACCCATGGGGGGTGGCAGTATTCAGGCCATGGAAATTGGGGAGAAGGCATTTGGAAAGCTGTACCCTTATCATATTTTTACTTATAAGTAATCCAGCATCAGGTACAGCAGATCTGTGGCAACCTTCAACTGCTCTTGGCAAATCCAACCCATCAATCAAATGTTAGACATCGGATAGCACAGCAATGCTTGGCGACTGGCATTCTGCAGCTGTCCAACTGCCAGAAAATGACACATGGGAGCTTTTTATAACTCCAGAGCCCTAGAAAGTTGTTTCTGAAAAAAAAAAAAAGAAGAAGGAAGAAAGCTCAATTCTCTCTCCTCAGGCTGCCTGAGGCTAAGGCCCAGCTGCCCCCACTGTGTGGGATCCACCCTGAGGGCAGGCACAAGGGCTGATGGGAAGGGAACAGAGAGGGTGCCGAGGGGCTGAGAGGGCTTGGAGGACCCTCCAGAGCCACCGGAAACTAAAAACAAAAAGGGCAGGCACACTTGTGACAGCTGGGTGACCCAGGTCCCCTTCAGGACTGAAGGACCTGCCCCCAGCTGTGAGGAGGCGGAGCCAAAAAGAACCTCAGCTGGAAAAAAAAAAAAAAAAAGGTCCTCCCTAGGCCATTTCCCGTGACCTGCTTAGCCCAGAAGATAGTCAGGTCCGGCCACTTGTCTAACTTAAGGCCCTCTGAAGGGTCAGCTTAGCTCAGGGCTCCCAGGGGTCCCTGAGCCCTTGCCTGGGTCACGGCCCAGCTCCTCCTTCCACCCACTCTTGCAGCCTTCCTGTCCCTTCCACAATACTGACCCCAGGAGCACTCCCTGATAAACACCTAACCTGACCACCCTGGAGACCCCCACCCACTACGTGGCCTTTGGGGACGGGAAGGAGGAATGTGAGGTCAACAGTGAGGGGTCGTATGAATTCCTCTGTCTACTAGTTCTGTATTGCTTGTGGTTTTTGCCCTACCACGTACTTGTATTATCTATTTAAAACTTAGTTAAAATTTTTTGAGACAAGAATGTAATCTAGCTGTCTTTTAAGGAGCCCTTGGGTGGCCCAAAGGGTTACATACTCAGCTACTACTGAAAGGTTGGTAGTTTGAACCCACCCCCCAAAGCTACCTCGGAAGAAAGGGCTGGCCGTCTGCTTCTGAAAGGTCAGGACCATGAAAACCCTGTGGGGCGCAGCTCTGCTCTGACACACATGGGGTGGCCGTGAGTCAGAATCGACTCAATGGCAGCTGGTTTGGGCTAGTTTTTGTTTTCACCGTCTGTTATTCGATCCATAATGAATTTGTCATTGTTGTTACGTACCATCAAGTCAGTGCCCACTCATATTGACCCTGTGCACGAGAGAACGAGCACGGCCCGGTCAAGCGTCATCCTCACGATCACTGCTGTGCTAGAACCCATTGCTGCAGACACTGTGTCGGTCCATCTCATTGAGGGCCCTTTTTCTCGCTGGCCCTCCACTTTACCAAGCATGACATCCTCCTCCAGGGGCTGGTCCCTCTAACAACGTGACCCAGGTACGTGAGATGGAGACTCCCCATCCTTGTTCTAAGGAACATTCCGGCTGCACTTCATCCAGGACAGATTTGTTAGTTCTTCTGGTATCCGTGGTACATTCAATAGCGTTGCCAACACCACAGTTCAAAGGTGTCGATGCTTCTTCGGTCTTTACTATTGTTAAGAACATGTAACCAAACAAAACTAGTAAGGGCAGATGCTGCACAAGCCAAAAAAATGGTCTGGGCCCAAACAGGGTGGAAGAGTTCGGTGTTGATGATAAGATCCAGACCTGCAATCTGTAATCTAAGGAAAAAAGGGCTTAGTAGGCAGACCAGCAGCCACGCCAGAATTTTGCTATAAAACGCAAATGGGAAATGGTCAAATCAAATTAAATTAAAAATAAAAATGAGGGAGGGCAAGATTCAGCTTAATAGTTGTATAAAATTGATTGAGGGTTTATTTGAGCCCAGTGGAGTTCGTTCTGGAAAGTCTGTCCTCGATGAACAGTGTCGGGCATCTTTCGGATTAAGATGATTGTTTGTATTCCAAATGTCCTCGGGCCCAAACTTTGGCACCTATTACAATCAGCTGGCCTTTTACAAACAAAGTGGGAGGGAGGGAGGGTTAGCTGAGGACACACACGTAGAAATACCAGAACAAACACAAGGCAGGGACGGTGTTCTGGGGGAAGAAGTGAAGACGTGAGCAGGGTCTTTGAGAAAGGGGAGAAGGGTCTTCAGAGGAAAGATGGGGGGCTTGAGAGGACAGAAGGTCTAGGAAAGGGCCTAGGGGGTTCCGTGGGCTGAGTGTGACCAGGGCAGATAGCTGGGCTCAGAGAGAGGAGGAACTGGGCCGGGGGCACAATACGGACTCTGGCCTGGACAGTGATTGGAGCCCCTGCCCTGAAACACCCTCAAAGAGCGGGGCATTTTCTAAATTGAGATAAAATTCACATACTATAAAATTCACCCTTTAAAAGTGTGCAGCACAGTGGTTTAAATACACTCAAGGGTTGTGCAACCTGCCCCAGTGTCTAATTCCAAAACATTTTCATCACCCAAACAGACACCCCATACCTCTTAGCAGTCACTCCCCATTCTCGCCTCCCCTCAGCCTTGGCAAACCACTAATCTCCTTTTTGTGTCTATGGACTTGCCTCTTCTATTATGGAGAGTTCATATAAAAGGCATCAGGTAATAGGTGATCTTTGTGACTGGCTTCTTTTATGCTGCATGTTTCCAAGGTTCTGTTTATGGCCAAATACTATTCCACTGTATGGATATAAAACCTGTCACAGTCAAGTTGATTCCAACTCACGGAGACCCATCTGTTACAGAGTAGAACTTCTCCATAGAGTTTTTTTTTTTTTGGTGAAAATATACACACACACACACACAATACACCCATTCAGTAATTTATACATGTACACTTCAGTGACATGGTTAAACTGGTCACACTGGTCACCATTCTCCACCTCTCTGTCCATATTGTTTCACCACCATGAACTTAGCCTCTCTACCCCTTACATGTCTTGTTTCAGAGTTACCATTGTCCATTTAATCTCATACAGGTCATTCTTGCAAAGAGCATGATACTCAAGGAGAACATTCTTTATTAAACGAGCTAAATGTCATCTCATTTAAAGATGGCTCCATGGCATCGTTTTGATTCAAGGCTTAAAAGTTGTTTCCTGGCAATCGAGTCACAATTCCACCAGTCTCCATAGATCCAGTAAGTCTGGTTTCTAGTAAGAATTTGAAGTTCTGTTCCATAATTTTTCCTTGTCTTGATCAAGACCCAACTTTGGGTCCTTGATAGAAACTTCAGTAATGGTCGAAGGGAATCCCTCATTTCTTCTTAGTCTCATGGCAAAGGAGGGAGTAACTCGTCCTTATGGTTTTCCTGGTTGTGATCTTTATGAAAGTGATCACCAGGCCTTTCTTCTGTGGCACTGCTGGGTGCGTTCGTACTGCTAACCTTCAACAGTGCAGTGCAAACCAATTGTATCACCCAGGACCTTATATGGTTATACCACGTTTTCCTAAAGCCATTAATCCACTGATGGACTTTTGGGTTGTTTCCATTTTTAGACTATCATGAATAACACTGCTACAAATATTCATGTCTAAGTTTTTTGTGGACTGATGGAGTTTTTACCCTCTCCCCTGCCCCATTTTCTCCCTGGATATATCCATGGAAGTGGAATTGCTGGGTCAAGTGGTAATCCCATATTTAACTTTTTGAAGAATTATCAAGCTGTGTCATTTCACATTCCCACCACAAGGTATGAGGGCTCCAGTATCCCCACATCCTCACTAATAATATTGTCCATCTTTTCTATTATAGCCATCCTAGTGGGTGTGAGAAGTCCCCGGGTGGCACGAACAGTGAATGCACTTGGCTGCACAGGACCTTCTGTGGAGAAGAACCAGTAACCAGTGCCCTTGAGTTGGCTCCAGGTCACAGTGGCCCTGTGTGTTGCTATGAGTCAGATCCAACTCGACGGCACATGACGACAACAATAACACACTAACCAAAAGGTTCAAGTCCACCAGAGAGGACTCAGAAGAAAGACCTGGCAGTAGACTTGCAAAAATTCAAGCCATTGAAAACTGCATGGAGCACGATGCTAACTGACACACATCGGGTCACTGTGAGCTGGAACCAACTCAAGGGCAACTGGTTACCGGTTCTTCTGCACGGAAGCTCCCGTGTTGGCAGAGCCACAGTTTTCACATCTTGTCAATGCCAGTCCCCCTGCAGGACTTTACTTTCAAAAAATGGAACATTGACAACCCGTTGGAGCACGGTTCTACTCTGATGCACACAGGGTCGCCATGGGTCGTAATCGACTGGACCCTGAGTGGTAGCGGGTGTGATATCTCACTGTGGTTTTGATATGCATTCCCCTAATGCTGCTATGGGAGCTCTGGTAGCATAGTGGCTAAGACACTTGCCTGCTAACCAGACGGCTGGCGGTTCAAACCCACCAGCCACTCCTCGGAAGGAAGGTTGGGCAATCCTACTTCCGTAGTGATACTGCCTCGGAAACCCAAGGAGGGGTCGCTATGAGTCGGATTTGACTCGATGGCACATAACAACAACAACAACGACGATGCTAAGCATCCTTGCATGTGCTTATTGGCACAAGGAGTTGGATTTTATCCTGGAAACAACAGCCAGACTTCAAACATGCCAAAGCAGTGATGTAATCTGATTTATGTTTTAGGAACTCCCTCTTTCAGTTTTAAGGGGAAATTTTTCAGGTGAGATAAGATAAAAAAAAAAAAAAAATGAAGCAGAGACAGCTGTGAAGGCATCCAGGTTCTTCAAGATG